TATGGAGATAGATTTCAGATACAAGAAAAACGTATAAATTTGCAAATTGCTCCTTCTCTACTGAAACCATAGCAATATTTCTTTTGTATTTAAATATTAGCAGCTGCAACAAGTAAAAAAGAATTTCTATACTTTCTCCTTTTCTCATAGACTGGCTTCCATAGACAGTTTTTTATTTGACTGGATAATGGTTAATTAGAAACCCCATTAACTTTAAGCAATTATAATGAGTGATGATCTTTATTATTAAATTTCATTAAAAATTGATCCCAGTGATACATAAGCAGTGAATTTCATAAGTTAATTTATGACCTTGTCAGTGCACCTGTACATTTAAAATCTGCACTTGGACCACTTGCTATGATCATAATTATTTCTTTGTGAAGTAAAAGTTTTCCAGTTGTAGATTTTATTAAAAATGTTTTAAATTTCTCTGAAGAACAGCACGTTGGTGAATATAATTTACTTTTCTAAACCCCAAGGCTAAAAATAATAGAAAAGAAACCAATCATGTAAAACTTCATTGAGTAGTACAACACTTCTCAACCTGCAAATGAAACGATTTGATTTCCAAAGTTGTGTTTGAAAGACTTTTGCCTCAATATGTAAATGCTTTAATTCTTTCCAGGGCAACATGATACTCTCCTACAATGAAGCGGTAAATGAAAACTAATTTGAACCATCTGAATGATCAGCAGAGAGAAGAGTTGATGCTAGCGAAGAAAAGAAATTTAAAAATCATTCACATTACTTAGCCACAAAATGTTGGTTGTAGCAAAGATTTTAAGAGCCTTTAAGGAGGCTGGAGATTCAACAAGCAGATCGGTAACACACCATAAAACAGTGCCCAAAGAATATAGACATTAGAGTTTTGATTGTTTCAGCGATGCACTGAAATGCAATTGAAGAAATATAATTTTGGCACAGAGAGCTAGGAAATGACAGTAGCAGATGGATTGCATCAGTCTGCAATAATCAGAGATGAATGCTCTGTTTGAATGACTGAACTTTATACTTTGGAAGGCTACTAGATTCCTGCAGCCGGAGGCTTCAAAAGATAAGACTATTTGTCCAATCACCCCGAAGGAAACATTAAGTCTGTTAGTTTCAGCCATTTACTTTGCATGAGCAATAATGCCCTTGGGTTGAACATCTTTAAACACAAATGTCAATAATCAGGCTGCGTTACAGGTGGATGATAACAATGACTAATTCACAGACATTTTCCCTCTCAACTCCCTGTCCTTGCAATATCAATGCAGTAGGAAATCAGCAGCATTTATTACTTCTTTATTCCATTTTTGTGCATTTTTATTGAAGTATGATAGACATACAACATTATATCAGTTTAAGTTAGACAGTATGGTGATTTTAAATTTGTATATATTGCAAAATAATCACTACAATAAGTCTAGTTAATACATATCACTATACATGGTTATATATTTTTTCTTGTGATGAGAACTTTTAAGATCTATTCTCTTAGCAATTTTCAAATATGCAATACAGTATTATTAATTACAGTTGTCATGCTGTACATTCCATCCCCATGACATTTATTTTATAACTGGAAGCCTGTGCCTTTTGACTCTATTCACCCATGTGGTCCACCTATCACTCTCTACCTTTGAAAACGACCAATATGCTCTCTGTATCTAAGAGCTTGGTTTTCTTTTGGGGTTTTTTTGCTGTTGCTGGTTTGGGTTTTTGTTGTTTGTTATTGTTTTGTATTCCACATTATTCAATTTTGTATTCCATTTTATATATAAATCTAAATTTACCCATTCATCCATGAATGAATACTTAGGTCGTATATCTTGGCTATTGTAAATAATACTGAAATGTGCATGGGAGTACATATATCTTTTTGAATTTATGTTTTCATTCTCTTTGGATAAATATCCATAAGAGGAATTGTTGAATCACATGGTAGTTCTATTTTTAATTTTTGGGGAATCTTCATACTGGTTTTCCATAGTGGCTGCACTGACTTATATTCCTAAAGATGCACAGAAGTTCCCTTTTCTCCACATCTCCAACACTGATTATTCACATTCTTTATGACAATAGCCATTCTAACAGGAAAAGGTGATAGCTCATTGAGGTGTTGATTTGTAATTCCTTGATGATTAATGATGTTGAGCATCTTTTCATGTACCTTTTGGCCATCTGAATGTCTTATTTGGAAAAAATACCTGCTCAGATCTTCTGCTTATTTTTTAATCAAATCATCAGGGATTTTTTTGGTACTGAGCTTTATGAGTTCTTCATATATTTTGGATTTTAGCCCCTCATCAGATACATGATTTGCAAATATTTTCTCCTGTTCAGTAGGTCGCCTTTTCATTTTGCTGATGGTTCCCTTTGCTGTGCCGAAGCTTTTTTAGTTACATGTCGTCCTGACTGCTCATTTTTGCTTTTGTTGCTTTTGTTTCTGGTGTCAGATTTAAAACAACATCACCAAGATGTATGTCAAGATTACTGCCTGTGTTTTCTTCCAGGAGTTTTATGGTTTCAGGTATTACTTCAAGTCTTTAATCCATTTGGAGTTAATTTTTGTGTATAACATAAGATACTGGAGTAGTTTCGTCCTTTTGCATGTTGCTGTCCAGTTTTCCCAATATGGTTTATTGAAGAGGCTGTTCTTTTCTCACTGGTATACTCTTGGCTCTGTTTCATAAATTAATCAAA